AAATAAAAATAAATAAATCTTAGAAAAATAAAATAAAACTCACTTTTTGTTCATCTTTAAGAATTCAGCTTGTGTAGTATTTAGGTATTTTTGTCTCTTTTGACGATTTTAGTGTTCAGAGTCAAACGCCTAATACCAAAATGCTGATACTTGTATAAATTACATATTTGCAAATAATAAATGGAACACACAAGGAGATCACATTAGGATAATTTATTTAATTTGTTTAGACAACAAATAATTAAGCTCTCTCTTGGAAATGCATTTATGAAAATAATAAATAAAATTTGATAATTAAATTTACCCACACATTTGTTCTGGTGTACGCATTTACATATTAATTGAATCCTTGGCAAAATATGTAATCAAATTGAGGACTTAAATAATATCAACATTTACATTCTTTTTGTAGACTCTTAGAGTGTATAATTCCTTAGCGGGGAAAAAAAAAAAACTAAAACTACTTGGCCTTCCAGCCCTGATTAATCATGCAGGGCTGCGTGGACAACCCAAAGCAAGACTCAGAAGCTTTTCTTTAGATGCCAAGAATGTTATATGTTTGATGATGTACGTAAAAGGGGCTGAGAGCAAGCACTTGTCACAGCCAAAGCCACGAGGGTCTCCCCATGGCCCTAGGGAAAGCATTCCACAGCGAAGGATATCAGATGTTGACAGCCAGGGGTAACAGCGAGAACTTCAGCCTCTTCATGTTCTCTTGCTCCTGCTGGACCGGGCACCAATCCAGGAGTTGCGTGCATAGACCCCAGAATGCAGCAGCTGGTGAGCCATATTAACAGACAAGGCCTCAGGGCTAGCCCTGCTCCCGAGCTCTGCTCCACAACTGCTGTTCACTTAAACAGCTGGATCTGAGCGAAGGGAGATGAGGTGTCGTTAGAGCTTGCTATGTACAACTGTTTCACTATAGATTGCCTGCTAGAGGCAGATATAATGATAGCTTCCAAGGCTGCCACATTGGACCGGGAAGGATGCTGATGTTCAATGAAACAGAAGACAGAGGAATGGTGATATACACAACTTTGAATGCCAACAGCAAGCCTCTGATGTTCTATGTTATTCTGGAGTGCAATCTCAGCACCACTAATCACTCTACAGCTAACACTCTTACAAGGGATTTCTGGGATTAGAGGTAATCCAGCTAAGCCAAAATTATGTTTTAGAATTATAGTCTTACATGGGCAACATAGTCCTGTGTTTTTCTTTCCATTATCAAAGAAAATCAAAGTATGCGCACATATTGAAGTGTGTGTCAAATTTTGTACTTGATGTTTCACACTTGAACACTGTCTTCAACCCGGAACTTTTCTGGCGTAGGAAAAAAAAATGTGCCATGCAAGTCCATCACAGAGCAAGGCATCAGGCAAAATGAACGCATGGCATCTACTTTGCTTTCGTGATTGATCATGATGGAGCTTCAGACTTCCCTTAATTGGAAAAGGGTTTGAAGAAATGTGCAAATAATTCATCATTATTGTCTTCCTCCATTATTTTAATTGGCATTTTTACTCCCATACGTATGGGAAATATTACTGTACAACAGCAGCTAGGAAAATTTAAAGGAACAGATCAGATTTGGAAAAGAATGAAACCCAGCCCATTCTCAGATCCAGTGTATTTCCCAAATGATGAGATAAATAGGAAGGTAGAAAGCCAATATAATACTTTTAGCTGAGAAAAAAACATAAGGTGTTCTAAACTTAAAGAGAAGAGAGAAGTACCCACATTAGATATTGCCCCTAATGCATTTGAGCACTAGGGCTTAGCAAATGAAACCCCCAAGAGATGAGGATGCGCTGTGCCATGTCAACAGCCAATGTTAGTGCCAGCTGCACCGGACCAAAACATCTCTTCACTGCAGTTCAGGAAATGTGACGAATACCTACTATGTGACAAGATTTGTGCTGGAATATTCACAGTGTTGAAGAAAATAGATTCTTTAGTCTATAACCAGGTAGGGTATGTCAGTTAAAAATACATCTAACTGCATGCCAAAGATAGCCCTGGCGATGAAAGTTTAGCAAAGAGGGTCACATTGAAGACCCTCATGCTAGGACGTTACACGGCTCTCCCAGACAGCCCAGAGTACTGCGTATGGACTCCAATGTTTCCTCCAGCTCTAATCAGCAGCCAACATTTTTAACAAGTAGGAGCAAGAAGAGAACATGGAAAATTTTTCACTATTAATGAGACTGCACTATGAACTTACAAGACTGAGGTGCAATCGTGAGATTACACACTCATGGATATGTACTGGGGAGACACCAAGCTGCTTCAGCAAAAGTGAGCAACAGCTTTCAGAGTCAATGGTCCTGCAGACCTTGTCTGGACAGGATTAATCCCCTATCAGCTAACCATGCCTCAGGTGGGTTGACATCTGAACACCAGTTGCCACCTGCTTTTCATAATCCATGACATTTACATTCTCTCTCTCTCTCTCTCTCTCTGATTTTTCATGGCACACTCTGAAAATGGCAGACCATCTGTGAAAGTGATGTCTCTCCTATAACTGATTAGTCGGGTTCCTTCATGAATTGTGAGAATTACCTTTAGCAGAGTTGAGCAATAGTTTGTGGTTTTGAAAAAACAAAAATATTGGTTTGGACTAACAAGTTGGGAAACATATGAGATGAACAAAGCTAAGCTTCATGACCAAAAAGCCAAAGGACAGCTGCTCAAGGCTGGGAGTGGGGCCTGCTCAGGAGCTGGGGAACAGTCAGCAGCGTGAAGTGACCCAATGAGAGACGTGCCAGGAAGCAAGAACACAGGCCAGACCTGCATGGCCATATTCTAGGTTCATCTGGATCTAACCAGTGTTGTGAAATGGCTGTTCACACTCATGGAAAATAATTTTGCTGCCATACATAGGAAACAGAAACAAAGGCCAGGACCGGGTTCCTTAGCCTGCCCTCCTGAGTTTTTCCAGGTCCTAATTACATTTCAGAGAGATAATAACTAAGCATCTCGTCTATGTGGAATATTTTTGTCATGCAACAGCAGATAGCGCTAATTAGATTTTTCGGTTCCATGTGTATTTTAAGCCCATTTGTCCATCTAGACTCGTTTCCTTGTCATGAGCACTTTTTAACAAGCTTTCTAACAGGGAACTAAACAAGCCACAGCAATAAACACCAGGACCTCTTGCCTTAGGTTTGGAGCTGCTAGAGAAACGTTCGTTGAAATCCACCGTACTCCTCTTAACGCAATACGTTTGACCTCCAGATAACGTTCAGTGCTTCATCCCCTAATGTGTTTAATTTTAATCCTGCCGAGACGAAAGTCATTGCATGAATTACAAGAATGAGTCTCGTTGAGGCTGAAAAGCAGTGACCCAGATAACGTAATGTATTAATATGGAAACCTTGCAGTTTTAGAGCCTTGCTTTCGAATCTGTCTGTGTGATCAAGTCACTGCAATGGTCCATCAGTTGGCTAACACCTGTCCATGGGAGTCTGAGAACAGTAGTTAGGAGAGCGTTCTCACTCTTCAATAAAAGATTAGACTGAACCAGGGCAGCTGCAGGGAGAGAGGGTCTTGTAGACATGACATGGATACTGCACCCCTGAAATCTCAACAATGTGGTTGACTAAGCGAGGCATAAATGCTGGTCTCAGCAGTGAACATGCCAATAGAAAGGAAGGAAACTCCACAACCCCCAGACCTAGATGAAGAGTTGTGGGTAGCCAATGGCTGTTGAGAGAAGACGGATCAGTTTTCTCAAGAGACGACCTCACTGATAGGTTATCCAATCCCCACTGGTCAGCACTAACCATACAAAAGCAACATGAAATGGACTAAGCAGGTTTTATGAACATACACATTTATATATGTGTGTGTTATATATAATAAATACAGAGTGGGGGATGGGAAGAGTTGGGAGAAGGAGGGGTAGAAATGACGTAAGGACAATGTACTTATGAAACTCTCAAAAAAATCAGTGGGATTTGTGTAGTAAAAATGGCATACAAAAACATATACAGATACAAATACCATCAAAATTCTAACACATTCTTTACAGATCTTGGAAGGACATTTTTTTGTTTCACATGGAAAGACAGAAATTCTATGATAGCAAAAACAATCTGGAATCATCAATGAACTGCTGGAGAGATCATGAGTTCTCACCCAGGTTTAGTTTACCTCAGTCAGGATGATTTTTTTTCTAGTTCCATTTATTTACTGGAAAATTCATTTCAAGATGCATAAAGAGAGATGAGAATTATAAAATGTTTTTACATGTCATGTCTACTGTCAAGCTATTTCATGCCTGGCTTGGGGATACTTCACCATGATCACAGCAAATAAAAATAAATCAGAGTTAAAATAAAAAAAAATCTAAACTGAGAAAATTTGTTCTTATTGTCTTCTAAAACTTCCTTAAATGATCAGAATTAATGGATGCTAAAATCACTAATGATTTTGTAATTTGAATGACACTCTAACAAGCACCAGAACGTTGACATTTTCATCACATAAATATATGTAGTTAGAATGTGTAAATATAAATTAATAGGGTGTCTACTTGTCAAAACAAAAATATAATTACACTAAGTTGGTCCTGATAGATGTAACATGGTGCTCACCAAGTTACCAAGGTCCGGTTTGGGCTGCTTAGTTGTGGGAATGAGAATAAAATTCAGACTTTGCTCATGCCACTCACTTCTGTTACCACTGAGCTGCACCCAAGCTTTATTTTTTTGGTATTCTTTGGAGTAGTGTATATATAAGAATTACTATACTGCAGAGAAAATTCATGTGGATGCAACTTAGTAGGATATCTTACCATCTGCCGGTTACAGAAAAAACAAATTAGCTGGGCATAATAGCCTGCATAGCACTCAAGAGGCTGAAGAAGGAAGATCGTGAATTCCAAGGCAGCCTGGGCTTATGTGGTGCGATCCCTCGTCAAAACTTAAAAACTAAAATAAAAGAACCTTTCAAGAAGCATGTTTCTGAAAGTGTGTCTGTCTGTTCATTTATTTTAGATGCAGGATATGGCGAGCCCCGAAGGAGCTCCGTACGGCTCCCATCCTCAGATTGCAGCCATGAGGCCGAGAGGCCAGCCGACAGACATCCGACAGCAGGCAAGCATGATGCAGCACGGCCAGCTGACCACCATCAACCAGTCCCAGCTGAGCGCACAGCTGGGTTTGAACATGGGAGGAAGCAACGTTCCCCACAACTCCCCTTCTCCCCCTGGGAGCAAGTCTGCGACCCCTTCGCCTTCTAGCTCCGTGCATGAAGACGAGGGCGAAGACACCTCCAAGGTATGATCTGTGTTTGAGACTGTCGTTGCACTGTGAGGAGGGCATGCTTATATCCTCCCCGGTGAGAAACATCGGTGGGAAGCATATACTTGGTTAATGACGCATGAGGTTACAAACTAAATTCAACCACACGCTTACCCATGACACTTCTAAGTTCCTTATATGTCCTCTCAATATATTTACATATAACACAAAGGTTGTGTTTGCTCTTGAAATGTATGGTCTGCATAGTGAATACGGCTAAATAAATTCTGTTGTGCTTGACTTCTGCCGTCGAGCCTACCTTGCTGCATGCCAGTCCCTGTAGGACCTTTTTTTTTTTTATTTATTAAAGATTTCTGTCTCTTCCCCACCGCCGCCTCCCCTTTCCCTCCCCCTCCCCCAAACAAGTCCCCCTCCCTCGTCAGCCCAAAGAGCAATCAGGGTTCCCTGCCCTGTGGGAAGTCCAAGGACCACCCACCTCCATCCAGGTCTAGTAAGGTGAGCATCCACGAAACTGCCTAGGCTCCCACGAAACCAATAGGTACAGTAGGATCAAAAACCCATTGCCATTGTTCTTGAGGACTCAGTAGTCCTCATTGTCCACTATGTTCAGCGAGACCGGTTTTAACCCGGGCTTGTTCCTGAGATGCTGTATAGCTGAGGAGGACCTTGAAATTCTGATGGCCCTGTTTGCACCTCCTGAGTGCTGGAATTAAAAGGGAGCACCATCATGGAATGCTGGAGATACAGTTTATGCCGGGGAAAGAACCCTACTGAGCTGAGCTTCAGCCACATTGTGCTGGGAGAATCTAACGTCCTGCAGTCCGTGCAGGGACCGTGAGTGGGAGTCAGGGTGTGCGCTGGAATGTCCTTAGATGACAACCTCAGATCTCCTGACCCAGCTCTTCTGCACTAGTGGTGGGCAGGGAAGAAGATGACTTTGCAGGACAGAGACCTGGGTGCTAACGTTTTGCGGCCCCTTACGGTTTCATCACTAGATGCCTTTCTGTGAATCACTGAGGGGGAGGATTGCTTTTGTAATGGTCTTGCAGGGGAAATTTGGCTGAGTCCCCCTTTAAATGCCTTTGAAGTTGTTTAAGGAATTGTTCCTTTAAAATATAATACTTTAAAAGGAGAAAAGAGAAATAAATGACTTCACCAAAACCCTGTAAGCTTTTTTGCCTGAAAACACCAAATGCTTGCTTTCCCTTTTCTGATTACCAATGAAGCACTGCCCAGATTTAGCCCAGTGAGAAGGATGAGTGTCTACCGGCTGTGAAAAGGCCCACCAGTACACAAATACTTTCTATTTGCCCTCTTTTTTAAAGATTTATTTTATTTTTGATTATGCATTGGCAGTGGGCGGCCGAAGTGCAGGAGAGTTCAGGTACCCAGGAGGCCAGGGGCTTTGGTTCTCACAGGGGCTGTTGCTACAGGCGCTTGTGAGCTGCCTTCAGTGCCAAAATCCGAACTTGGTTCTCTGTAAGAGCAGTACAGGCTCTTGCCTCCTGCTCCCCCTCTCAAGACTCCTCTTTTATTTGTTTAAGAAGCTTCCTAATAAGTAGTCAGGTGTGTCCGCCGCTCTGTTTTCTTCTCGTCTTCATGAGAATTTGGGGAGGAGTTAAACTGCCAATACACTGATAGGCCCTGCTACAGAATCTGATGATCTATGCAATTGATTGCCAATGTTTACACTAAACTCATAATAGTCCAGAGGAGTTGTAATCCATAGGTTAATTCCATTTACTGACAGCATTGAAGATACACTGACAATATTTTCTTACTTCTGAACTCTTGATGCACGAGTATTTGGGAGTTCTTAATCTCAAAACAATGATACAGTTGGCCTCCAAGAATGACTCCACTCTGAGGCCCCTGTGATATAGAAACCAGCCAAACCAGAGCTCTCACCCACCGGTTCAGTATTCTCCTGCCTCATACCAGGGCCAGGGTCAGCCAACAAAGACCAAACCAGAAAAACCCAGAATCTGTCCCAAGCCTTTCCCCCTGTTCTCTCCAGCAGACCCACAGAGCCTGGTAACTCCTAGCCACAAAACTGCAAGGCATGTGCTGTGTCCTGTGTTACCCGAGTCCTCTCTGTCCCTCAGGGACTCAGGTCCCACCCCAGGTGGCCATGTGCTCAGCTGTGCCTCCTGTTGTTCAGATCTGTGACTGTAAACTCCCTTCCTGGCAGTCATTCCCATGTTTTGCTGAGTTCCCAAAGAAAATAAAATCAGATCTCAGATACAAATCTCAGTGTCTCTGCACACAAGTCTGCTTCTCCTACCTTCGTAGTCAGGCCTGTGGTAAGTGAGGTCATGTGCATGGACAGAGGTAACTACTAATAGAAGTCTAATTAATCATACATCACTGGGCTCATGAGCGCCTGGACATGAGCTATCTAGATAGCAAAGACAGTTTTCCTAAGAAAATGTCAATTATTCTAATAGTACCCAACAACCAGTAAGCCTAGATCCAAATACAAACACCAGCTGTATGCTTGTGGCCAGAGAGCCGTGGGCTCTAGACAGTCACCTAAACAGAAATGATATGTGTTATGTTTTACCGGGAGATCGATGTTCAGCTCACAGTAACGATCAATTTTTATATCAGGATTATGTCTTTATCAGACTTCCTTTCTGACAATTCAAAATATTAATGCAAAACTTGTAGTAGCGTCTGCTACCAATAAAATGTATACAGGACTTGTCTTAATTACAGCAACATTCTATGCGCTCTGCAGCTTACATGGTGGCTCAGTAGACAGGAAGCTGAAAGTCTTAGAAGTACTTTCTGCCGTATATTGTTAACCCTTTAGGAGCACAGCTTGTCATTGTCCCAAGGCATGAATTTGTACATTATAAACCTCCATGCTGGTATGAAATTTTACCCGTGAGTTTCCTATCCAATCACCTGATATCCACATCTCAAAAACCTGTATACATCTCTAAGTGGCAGCAAGCCTGTATGGTTCTTAGCAGCGACTCTTGGGCTACTAGTGTGGGGGCAGGGGAGAGGGCTTGAAGAGATCAATTTCTCAACAACATTCCTTTTTTAAAAAAAAAATGGCTTTTTTTTTCTTTTACACGTCTCAAGAAAATTCAGCTGCAATTACAATTCTGAATGCCGTTGCTCACTGTGGATTCAGAATTCCTCTCCCGTTTATTCAACTTCCATGTGCTAAATTGCTAGAAAAATCCTCTGCTGAAAGTACCTAGGCATTTTTAATGACAGTTAAGAATTAAACAGTACTTTTTTCCTTTATATGTGTGTGTAGGATTTGTGTGCAATGCTGTATATTACAACAACTCTAGTTAAAAGTGAAATAGCACTAAGCAAAAAGATCATTGAAATCATTTCCAACAAGTGAACCAAACAGGAATATTGAGTTCCTCCCCAGAGAAAAGCATCTTAGCACACCAGGCTGTCTCTACGCAATTACATATTGATTCCAGTTTATCTAATTGAACAATTAAATGGAATACCTCTGTTTTGGCAGGGAAAAAAAAAGTATTGTAAATACACCGGTAGAATTAATTATCACCTTACAAACACCACCCATGGCTTTGAGAGCTCTGGAGTGGAGTTGACAGCTGAGTTACAAATGAAGCCTGCAGAGAAATAGTGAAGACAGAAACTCAGGCTGTGGCTCCGAGTCTATAACCCTGTTTTTGTGAGTTAGCAGACTCTTCAAGACGCTTAGAATATCTGGCATTGCATGTGTATTTGAATGTACTTGTTCCTTTAATTATCCATTAAGGATCACAGTAGATATTTTCCTTCCTTTTGCTTTCACTTTTCCATTGAAAACATCCTTATGTTTATGTGTCTCATAATGATGTATAGTTGGGTGATCTTTGGCTCTGCAATGGAACCCTTACAGCCCTGACACAGACATCTGGGCCTCCTCAGTGTATTGCTTTCTATTTACAAAGACGTTTTAAATTACTTGTTCTATCTTCTTTAAAATTTTTATTTTGCTCATCCAATTTTTCTAATTATAAGACTGGAAACTTGGTGTTCTTCTTTCTTTGGTTTTATTAGCTCTTTGAGAGTTTCACGTTTCCTGTAACATGTTTTGGCGATGTTCATGTCTCCAAGCCATCTCTAATCCACTCCCCCTTCCATCTCCACCAACTTTGTGTCCTTTTTCTTAATCCCTTCAAGATCAATTGTACTCCCAAAATATCCTTGGTTGTGTGGTCTTCCAATGGATTGTGGTGGACTTTCGTCTGTAGCTATGCTCTTAGAGAAAACCAATTCTCTCTTTCCCAGCAGCCAACAAGTGCCAAAGCTCCATGGTTAAGAGCCAGGTGTATGCCAACTCCTCTTTCCACACTGGGGCATGGGCTAGTACAGGTTTTGTATATGAAAGTTGTAAATTATTTGATGTCTTTACATTGCTATTTAGGTAACTTTTAAGTCTAAATACTTTCCTTCTGATTTATATGTTTATAGTTTTTGTTAATGTTCATCTTAATTATATTATTAAGTCCTTTCACATAAAAAAATTTATAAAATACCATGTACATTGTTCTAGGTCATTCTTTTTCTTCCAATTTTTTGTATTTGTACCATTTACATCTAGCATTACTTTGTCTTAGCTTTAAGGTGTTTTTCCGGCATCAGTCTTATTGGAACATGCCTACCATAAAGAACCTTTCTGCTGGATATGTTTCTAGGTTGACAGTTACCGCCTTTCAGCCTTTGGAGGCTGTCATGTTATTCTTTTGAGACCAGATTTCTGGTGTTGCTTTTGAGAACTACTTTCTCCATCTTTCCTTGAAAGTACCCTGACTGTCCTCTCTGATTGGTTTGAAAATATCTTACCTTTAATGTTCTTCAGCGCCAAGGTGATGTGTGTGGGCTTCTTCACATCTGCCTTGAGTTTAATTATCTCTGTACTACATCATTTCAGAAATATTTCAACCACTTTTTTTTCAGATGGTGCCTCTTGCTCCCTTCTCATTTTGTAACTCGGAGAAGGATTTAATGCAAGGCTTCCTGTCTTATTCTCCACGCCCCCAACCTGCTGTGTGCTACTTTGTTACCTGCTAGACTCGATTAATTTATTTATATTTATATCTTACTTGGCAATTACTTTTTTCAGCTATATCTCATCTGAAATTAAAATGATCTTTGGAAATGGCAATGTCAAGTATATTAAAAATATATTTTATTTTTCTCACATCTAGACATTTTCTTAGTTATTTAGTATTTTCCTCATATATTTAGTCCCTTTTATTCATAAATTTGTTGCACGCCCTCTGTCTTAGTTGCGTTTTGATTGCTGTGACAAGACACCATGTGTAACGCAGTAAATAAAAAGAGAGAGAGAATCCATGACCATCACGTCAGGGAGTACAGCAGCAGGCAGGCATGGATCTAGAACAGTGGCTGAGAGCCGACGTCCTTATCTGCAAGTCGGAGGCAGAGAGAGAGAAAGAGAGAGAGAGAAAGAGAGAGAGAGAAAGAGAGAGAGAGAGAGAGAGAGAGAGAGAGAGAGAGAGAGAGAGAGAGAGAGAGANGTTAACCAGGGATAGTGTGGGCTTTTGAAAACAGAAAAACAAACCTCTATTGAGCTTCTTTTATCATTTATGAAAAATAAAACTTGGGTATAAATGTTAGGGAATAAACCTGAGAGATCCATAGAGCAAGCGAAACATGATTTCTGCTCTCAGAACAGAGGTTGGACTCTATCGGTGGTCTTGGAACAATCAGCACCAACAGAGCTCCCCAAACAGACCGCAGCGACACACCTAATCCTTCGCAAACAGTTCCGCCAACTGGGCTCAGGAGACGGCTCACTCTCCATGGCTATCTGAATTTATTCGCATAGGGAGATTAGATGGCACCGCTAAGAAAGGAGACTGGACAAAAGCAGCAGGGTTTCCACGTGTAGAAGTGGGACATGAAGACAGTGCTGTGGTGTGCCCCATTCCCGTGGTGAAGGCTTTACAATGTTTACTTGATATGACGAGCGTTATAACTGGAGTTCTGTGCTGTTTGCTCAGCCTATTATGCAGATGGTGCTTGATTAAAATCTATTTTAAACTGCAGCGATTACTGCAAGATAGTGTGCATTAAAGAGCCCTCCTGGCTCCATTAAAGGCTTCGCGACCATGGCAGTTTATTTTAAATATGCTTATAAACATTTCTAACTTCTCCGGAGACGCTTCACTATAAATGACTCTCTTTCCGTGTGTGTGTGTGTGTGTGTGTGTGTGTGTGTGTGTGTGTGTGTGCTTGTGTGTTGTGTGTGTTTACACTGTTAAGGATTAAACCTTCAGTGTTTTGCATACTAGGCAAGGTCTCCAACACTAAGTCTCACCCCGACTCTCTTTCCCTGATATTGCTCAAGTCTTGCATTCTAGAATAGGGAAGTATTCTCCAAGCAATATTGTGAGTGCATGTTTCTTTTAAATTAAAAGATTATTATTTCCTTGTAATAAGTAGGTTTACATGAACCCATTATAACTAAGCAATAATACCTGACAGGAGGTGGCTTGTCAGAAGCCTAAAGATATTGTAGAATTATGATAAATACATCTTTCCCTAAGTAAAATAGAGGAAAGCATGTGCAACATAAAGCTTTTGTGTAATATTTATGAGTAAGATATATGTATTTTGAATGTATTTGTTAAATAGTGCTTTAATTGAATATGAGAAAAAACTCTGTAGGTAAACAGTTCGGCCATGTTGTTAATAGCTATCATTTTCATAAAATTTTTAAATGCACTTCAAATCTTTGCTTTGCAATGATGAACCTTTGCCCGTTGCTGTGCAATAGAAGAGCAGGAATATATGATGAGTCGCTGAAAGACACCACATAGTGGAAAGAGGGTAATGATTCATAAGACTTCTCATTTTCAGTGGGCCTGTCTTCTTTGGAAGGTGATTTTGTGATCTAAATGGGATACAATAGAAGTGAACTTTACTCTCTAGTTGAGGAACCTTAGTAAGTTGACAAATGCTCTAGAGGAGTGTTCAGTGCGTACTTCTATCTCATCTAGCGTAACAGCCAATAGTCATCAATGGCTGCTTAAATTTATATTTAGTGAGTTAAGATTAAATGCAAAACCTTTCAACTCTCAGTTGTACCAACTTTATGCTTGTGGTGTATAGTTATATGTTGCGAGTGACTACTCTTTTGACATGGCAGAGAATATACCTATCAGTCTAGAAAGTTCTATGAGATGGGGTACTATGGATTATAGAACCCAGAACTTCTTAGAAAGTTAAGGTCTAAAATTATAAGCTTTCATCCATAAATGTATGAAGCCAAAATCCAGACAACACCCAGGGACATATTGTAAATCCATTTAGCTAATTTTTTTTCCCAGCTCAACCATACTCATTCTTATGTTCATTCTAAATAGTTTGTGGTCAAAAGAGCTGGGTACTTTTCAAAATACAATCCATTACTGGCATGTAAGTGGTTCCAAATTGAAGCAATGCTCCTTTCCGAGGACGCTTTGCATGTGGCCAGTGACTATGTGCTTTTCACATGAGGAACAAAGCTACTGCTAAAAAGTGGGGGTGGGGGTTACCATTCCCAGCTCATTAAGCATACTCTAAAAGGGTCACTCATTTCTGCATGTTTCTTAAGAATGAAAAGTGGTGACAATACAAACCACACGTCAGAGGACTGTGCCTTGTGTTGCGAGCAAATATCTTGACCAATCACTGCCAAGGTGCTTGAATGCAGAAGACGTCGAGATAATTAACACACCCACCACTTTATCTTACCTGGTCACTGATTGTTGTTCTCTTGTTATTGTTTTTTTTTTCTGTTTGTTTTGTTGTTAATGAGGATATACTGTCAGCATATTTTAAGTGCATACTACAGTATTGCTTACTGGAATGACCATGCTGCACACCTTACCCGCAGAAGTCACCCACAGTTGAATACTGGTCTCCTTTGGCTACTCCATCTTTAATATTGCTTTTTTCTAATATCGTTTCAATTGAAGTAGAATTAAATCTCTCTACCTCTACTTTTCTCCCTCCAGCCTTTCCCAGCTACCCTCCTTCACGCCCACCCCATGCCCCCTCCAATCGCATGTTTATAGCCTCTTTTCCTTTGGTTATCATTACATGCATGCATGTGTATGTATACAAACGCATATGCACAAAGATATCAATATAAGCTGCTGAGTTTTAGAGCTGACCACTCTCCATTGGACAGGTAGTAAGGGACTCAGCCCTTTGGAGAGATGAAGTCTTCTTCTTCCAGCAGTCCTGGAACTTAGTTGCCTATAGTTGTTTGTCTAGGGGTAGGACCCTGAGTTGCCTGTAGTTATTTGTCTAGGGGTAGGACCCTGAGAAAATTTTTTCCTTCCACATTAGCACGTCCAATGAATAACCATTGTTCTGGTCTTGTTTATGCAGCTGTTTCTAGGGGAGACTGTTTTCATAGAGGACTTCCTGATATTGTGATTCTTATTTTTTTTTTTTTTTGTAAAAGCAAAGAACCTTTACTCTTACACAAGTCTGCAAACTCAAACTCTCCATGGGTCCAATGTATTGGAGTGACCGAAGAACCCTGAGCTCAGTTGGGTTTGGCTTTTATAGCAACAAAGGTAGGGGTGAGGGATTTCTAAGGTTCAGACCCCTATTGGCAGACATGTGTCCTGGTGAAAAGCAATGCGGTGTGTACTGCAGGTGATCCTATCTACAGTAGTCAGAACATTGGGAATTTCCTTTGGATGGTCTGTTCCTGGGTGCTGCCAGCTTAGGGTTTTTCCTGAAACCCAGTGTGGCCTGCTCTGGCAGTTGTGTGACCTGGGCCCCACGTGGCCTGGTCCCAATTATGTGTGGTCAGGCTGCCCTGGGTACCACATTGCTCCCTTTTTCACAATAACCAATGACAGGACCCAATCATGGGTCCTGCTTGCCTAGGGGCTCAAGGGAGTAGTATTGGGACCTCAATACCATTAGCTTACAGATTTTTTTAGGAAAGTGACATTTGTATCTATTGCCATTCTTAAAGCCCTGTAGCTGTGATCTTTGAGTACAGCCACATAATAATCCTGAATGATTTATATAGAAATAATAGTTTAAGGCTATATACTACCTCTTTGGTTCTGCATAAAGAAATTCAAGTGTCTTATCTTATTGCAGAGTTAGTTTAGTTAATAAATCTAACAATGGACAATTTGGGGTCTATTTTTTGGTATGTCAATGGGCACTAAAGGTGGCCATTTTGTCCCCCATGCCAGGGAGTTCCCCCTTGTCTCAGCATTTCAACCTATTTTCGGCAGAGAGCATGGGATGATGTGTTCTTTTCTGTAACTCCTTCAAGCTGACATTGGGGCATTGTTATCGGGGCCCAAGAAGGCTGAAAGGCTAGCCAACGCTAAGGAGGGTATTCAGGAAATGGGGCACTCATCAGAAGCACCTGGTTCACAGACTGTGTGTTGATGACACTGGGAGCATTCACATCAGCTGGACTGGTCCACATCAGCTTTCAGCAAGTCCAGGGCTCACAGTCATTCAGAGCAGGTTGTAGTCAGTAAGTGATGCCTAGATGTGTCTGCCAGTCAAGAGGAAACCTATTCAGACAAGTTTAAATGAATAACAGAAGTTAAAATTTGTGGGATTAAAGGAAAATAATACATTTGAAACTTTTAGACCCATATTGAAATCCATATCACGGGAAAAAAAAGCAGATAATGGGCATCTGCAAAACAGCAGCAATAGACTCCTACTTTTGAGTCCTAGCCGAAACTACAGATTTTAGTTAGAAGCATATGTATTTTTCTACTGTCCAGAGAGTCAGGTATGGATAGGACAAAGATGTCTTTGGCCTGATGAGAAACATCTTCAAGTCTAAACCTAGATGACAACCAAAATAAATGACCCAAACAGTAAGTAGTCATTGCTCTACCAGCTTATCAGAACTATACCATAGAAGGCGAAATAAACCAGAAATATTTTCCATATCTTATTTACTATTGTAACCTGTATTTACATTTTACATCATTCCTGAGACCCTCAAAGCTTATGATCTTTTATATCCTCAGATCTTTACATATCTTAAAACAATGTCTTTTATGAAGATACCTAGTAGCTTTAGAAAAAGCAAAGTTTGATTTTATAT